TGGTCCTGGGCGCCCCCCAACACTGCACATTTTGTATGTCTCCCTTATCTGACACACACATTTCAGGTCCTGGAGTTTCTTCTAATGAGCTAATGAGTTGAATCAGGTGTGTTTGATTAGGGAGACACACAAAATGTGCAGGGTTGGGGGGCGCCCAGGACCAGGGTTGAGAAACACTGCTTTAAATGGACATCTTTTAATCAATCATTATTCATGTTAATAATAAATAACATTTCAATTTGGCTCTCTATGCTTGAACTGTCCCCATTTCATCAGCAGAGCTAATGGAAGACATTTGAACGTAATGCACACGATTCAAAAATCCTATCCATAATGCATTGCAGGAAGAGGAACTCAGCATGACTGTTGCATGGAGTGAGCCGTCTATGTATTACTAGGCTGAAACGTATAGATTTTCTTATTAATGAGGCGCCATGAGGAACACAGATCAACTTCCCGGTAACATTTTAAAAGCGAGGCGTCTGGGTCCATATTTATCAGTAGCCAAGTGCAAAATGCAACCAATTGGCTTTGGCGAGTAAACAAAGTTGAGATATCAGTTGGTATAAATATGAAATGGTAAAAAGCTTGGTTATTAATTTGGGAGGACAACACTAATATTATAATAACAACATTACATTTTATATAATAGATTTTCTAAATATATACAATTTAAAAATCAAAGACAACCTTTTATTTTATTTAAAGCTGACAGATATAAGAAGATATTTTGAAGAATGTTGGTAACCAAATTGACTTTCATAGTATTTTTTTCCTTCACATTTTCTTACCCACATTCTTCAAAATATCTTCTTTTGTGTTGAACGGAAGAAAAAAATTCAGACAGGTTTGGAACAACTTGAGGATGAGTAAATCATGACAATTTTCACTTTTTTTAACTATGCCCGTAACATTTTAGATGAAATAATGCAAAATAGTTCAAAGACCAGTAAAATATATGTTGAATTTGTTACATTTCATTCATGAATTTGAATTTTTGTTCACTCACTTGCATGCAAGTATCCCAAATGGTTTAATTTCTAAAATAGTCACTAGTTTTAAACCGTCTCACCTGCTTCATCTATGTTGGTGCACTTCTGGTACATGGAGGTCCGCAGGGTGGGTGTCCTGGCATTTAACATGCGGATCTTGTCAACACGGGAATCAAATACTCTCAGTGTGTGCTCTTTGTCTTCATCATCGTGGCACAGGATCTTACTGTCGATGAAAGAGGCAAACATCTGCGTCTCCAGGAAGCGGGAGAGGAATGGCAGGTAAGGTTCGGGCTGATCCGACAAGAAGGAGGCCTGCAGCGGACAGAATTCAGAAATGGCAAACACCATGAAGCTGCTGTGGGTACAAAGAGTTTCAGAATCCCAAAACTTCTTACTTAATTACTCCAAACTTACGACCCTATAGAAGAAGTTTAATTTTTTCCAAAAATCTGTGTTTTCTGTATTATTTTTTCTGGGTACATTTTTATAATCTAAAAGAATGTTTAAAGGGGTCATATGATGCTGCTAAAAAGAACATTATTTTGTGTATTTGGTGTAATGAAATGTGTTTATGCGGTTTAAGGTTAAAAAAACACATTATTTTCCACATACTGTACATTATTGTTTCTCCTCTATGCCCCGCCTTTCTGAAACGCGTCGATTTTTACAAAGCTCATCGGTCTGAAAAAGCGAGGTGTGCTCTGATTGGCCAGCTATCCAGTGCGTTGTGATTGGCCGAATACCTCAAGCGTGTGACGGAAATGTTACGCCCCTACCATATTGTGATGCCTGCGGCAACCACATGTGACGACCCCGGGCTGGACTCCGCTTCGTCCACGGTGAAAGCCGATCCGGCGATCCACAGCGCGAAGTTGAAGTATTTCCTCAGCGACCAGCACGGATCAGCTCCAGGCATGACGAAGCGATATCGTCCTCTTTTGGAAGGCCAAACAAAGTAGTTTCGCTTTCACAACGAAGCACACAGCGCCTTCACGGCATGGCGGCGGCGGCGGCAACAATACTACAGCGAGAATAAAAGTTACGCCTTCTTTCTTTGCGTGAACATTTGGGCGGCGTTATGCAAATCTTCCCAGATAGAAGATTTAGAAGACATTCCCAGTTAGAACGAGCCGTTTTAGGTAGGTGTGGCTGACTCTTTTATTAAGAATATCTCTTTGGATTTGAGACTTTAGTCTTTGCAACTTTACAGATCTTCTTTATGCACCAAGAGCTTGTATCACTCCAAAGAGAAAGGAAAAATTGAAAATCGCATCATATGACCCCTTTAAACAATTGAATTCATAAAACTTTAGCAATAGAACTTGTTGGTCAGAGCTGGTTGTAACATAGGAGGTCATCAAACTGGTCAGAACTGGTTGGCCACCTTGCACTGGCAATAAACCAACATGACAAGTTTTTCTAGCAGGGAAGTTCATAAATGGATAGTGAAGCATCACCTTGTCAAAGTTCTGCATCTGGTCTCGGTTGCTGAACCAGGACTCTTTGTCTTGGCTGGGCTGAATGACAAACACCTCATAGTCAGAGAACATCTGCGTGAAGCGGTTGGCGAAGACCTCTCGCACACGAATGTTCAACTGATGCTTTTTCAGCTCTTCTTCATCACACTGCACTTTTGAATCCTTATTAGTGCTCGTATCCTCCTTTACATCCAGCTGTCAAACACACCAAAAGAAGAATACACTTATAAACAGGCACAGAGATGAAGAACAAAAAAAAAAAAGTGTCACGTGTTATTTTTTTTATTAAAAACTAAGTGATGGTGGGATTAGTCGCATAAGAACTAGAGGGACTGCTAGTTGTAATGACATGACAAGGCAAAGATGTAGCTCATGAATATTAATCACAACTGAAATGTAACAAATTTATTATGATTAAAAATACTAAATAATTAGTGGGACCCATAATAAATGATACTTCTCTATAATTCTGTTAACGCAAAGCACAATACAATAAAGCAGCAAACAAACAAACAACATTTTCTTCTAACAATTTCAGTGGCAAGGTTTGTATTTCTGTCCAGCGTTCATTTAGAATTATTTTTATATTTTCACTTTCATTTTAGTTAATGTTTTAGTAATTGTGTAGTGTTTTTTGTCATTTTTATTAGTTTTTGTTTTTAAATATGTCTATATAGTATTTATTAGTTTTAGTTATTTTAGCACATCAACTAACCAAAATGAGAAATGCTTGGCATCTGGCTACACCTTTTTTTGTTTGTTTTCAGTTAACATTTATCAGAATTTTTTTCATGGTTTTAGTTAATGATAATAACCCAGTTTCTGTCACATCACATTTCGTATTTGCCGAAACTGTTATATCATTCCTTCATGCCACATTTAGATTTCAGTGCCGGCAGATGTACTTTATCCTTGAAACTTTGGTTTGGACACAATGTCACCCTAATATAATATAAGGATTAAAGAAAAAAAAAAATCCACAATCACCACTCTATATGTTCCTAATACTAAATTAGGTTACACTTTATTTTAAGGTGTCCTTGTTACAGTGTAATTATAAATATAAGTACTGAGTAATATTAATTAACTACATGTACTTACTATATGGTTAGGGTTAGGATTTGGGTTTGGCTTAGGGTTACTTACATGAAATTATGCATAATTAATTGTTATTATAATAGTAAGTACATGTAACGTGTAACAAGGACACCTTAAAATAAAGTGTTACC